TATGTAGTTTTCCCAATTAATTACTCCACTTAATTTTTTAATATATAAATTTCATAATTTTGAAAAAGTAAAGAACCTAAGCACGATACCATGAACATATGATACGTGGAATTATTCATACTAGCAATATCAAAGGGAAATCAAAACAATAATTATATATTTGATCCCTTAACATCTTGGATATATAGGAGATCGATCCGATCCACTTGCCAGATTTAAATTTTAACTCCTTGACATGTAATATAAAAATTTTATTTAATACTAGCAATATGTCATAAATAAACGACACCTTAATAAGGACGTTTTCCGGCCCAGTTGCCTACATGATCATAGTTGCAAGAAATGAACCACCACCCGTTGTTACAACGAACCCGACCACAACCTAGTCGGACTGAGTTGCGCCAACTACTTGAGTATAATGTCCGCACATTTGCCCGCTAGCACATTGGTGGGTACCGTAGTTGTAGTTTAGCTTTTTCGATACCCACAATTGCACGGCGGCCCTCCCCGTGAAATTACCACCGGTCTTGGCAAGGTTCTCCCATGCACCAGAATGAATCAAGTTGCAATTACCAGCTCTTGAGTTGGCATAATTTTGTGCTCGAGATGCCAAGCCAGCATCCTAAGACATTGGCCCAATTCCAACTTGGGCGCGGGCATCGTTGTGAAGCATCCTAAGACATTGGCCCAACTCCAACTTGGGCGCAGGCATCGTTGTGAACCGCAAAATAGTCTTGGGGTGAATTTTGGGAATCACAAGTGTGAAATATGGTTAATACCATGAGACTAATGAGCAAAAATGAGATGTTAAACAACCCCATTTTGCTATAGGAGTAGTAGAGAGAAAAGAAATCTAAATTATTGTGATTATGAATGTGAGATAAGTATAGTATATATATAAGTAAATATGTGGAATTTTGTTTAGCATGTGTGAAGAAAATTCAAAGAAACTTAATAGAGAAAATGAAAAAACAAAAAAATGGTTCCTTATCATTTTTATAGTAGATTCAAAATAGTCCCTAATGTATGATTGGATCAATTTTGATCCTTAAATTTGTCAAAATAGATCACTTTTGGTCCTCTTTGTTTTTCGAAAGTGAACACTTTCTGTTCACGATTAGATATTTATCAAACTCTCATTGTTAAATTTAGTAACATTTGTGAAAATTATTAAATTTAAACGTTTGTTAGGGGTACAATTTTTTTTTCCTGACGAGATATTTTAAATATGTGCCAATTTATTTAATTTCATGCTACGTAAATTTTTTCAATAAATAGCAATATTTGTTTTTATTTCTGGTATTCAAATCTAAGACAATAGGTCAAGAAAGGATGAAATTCAATTTTCACCTATAAAATATTTTATGAAAATATAGTTTTAGGCCATTATTGTATGAGAGAATATGGAAGACTTGAGTATTTGTTAGTCATTGAAAAAAAATTGGGTAATGATTGAATTTTTTTTTGATGGGCACTTAAAATAGAACAAATATTTTGAATGGTTGAAACTGAATTTATGAATAAATAGTTACGTGTTTAGATAAGTGCTTGATGTGCCTAATTAATATATGCCATGCTTAATTAAAATTTTATGTATATTAATGTTTTATGGAAACAAGAAGATGCAGTACTTAATAATCAACTTAAGCCCATTATGAACATATGGTATGTGGAATTATTCATATTAGCAACATCAAAAGGGAAATAATAATAATTATAGATGTTCAATATTTAATCCCTTAATATTTTAGATAGGAGTTTGACTTGATTCATATGTCAAACTTAAATTTTAACTTCTCGACGTCTCATATGAGAATTTTATTTAATACTAGCAACATGTCATAAGTATACATCATTTTAGTAAGGACGTTGTCCGATCCAGTTGCCTACAGGATCATAGTTGCAAGAAATGAACCACCATCCGTTGTTGCAACGTGCCCGACCACAACCTAGTCGGACTGAGTTGCGCCAGACTACTTGAGTATAATGTCTACACTTTTTTCCACCAACACATTGGTTGGTAGCGTAGTTATAGCTTGGCCTCTCGGACACCCACAATTGCACGGCTGCCCTCCCCGTGAAGTCACCACCACCCTTGGCAAGATTCTCCCCAGCACCAGAATGAATCAAGTTACAATCACCAGCTCTTGAGTTGGCATAGTTTTGTGCTCGGGATGCCAAGTTGGCATCCCAAGACATAGGCCCGACTCCGACTTGGGCACGGGCATCGTTATGAACCGCAAGATAGTCTTGGGGTGAATTTTGGGCCTCACAAGAGTGAAATATGGCTAATACCATGAGACAAGTGAGTAACAATGAGATGTTGAACAACCCCATTTTTCTTTAGGTTTAGTGGAGAGAAAATAAATCTAAGTTATTGTGATTATAAACGTGAGATAAGTAGTGTATTTATAAGTAAAAATTGTGGAATTTTGCTAAGTATGTGTGAAGAAAATTCAAAGGAAATTATTAGTAGAGGAAATGATAAAAATGGTCTCTTATCTTTGATAGTAAGTTCAAAATAGTCTCTTGTGTATTTTGCTAAGTGATTTTGGTCCTTAAAACTTTTTAGAATTAATTACTTTTGGTCCTTTAAATAGTGTATATATAATTAAACATTGTGTAATTTTGTTTAGCATGTATGAAGAAAATTCAAAGGAAATTATAGAGAAATGACAAAAAGGCTTCCTTATCTTTTTAGTAGTTTCAATAGACTCCCTTATGTATGATAAGAGCAATTTTGGTCCTTAAGATTGTCAAAAGTGATCTTTTTTGG